CCTGCGTATTGTGCACTCGGGATGTACCAGTATCCTTTCTTTTCCGCTACCTCTTGTAGGTTCGCTGTTTTGAGCGGCTTGGGCTTAGCATTCTCTCTAACCTTGGGGCAGCTTGAGTCTGTTCCTAGGTGCCCTCTCTGTCTGCATTTGAAGCAGAGAGGGTTGGATTTGTTGGACACCGTAATTCTGATGACTTTGCTTTCGTGCTCGAAGAACCGTTCTTCGGGAGTGAAAGGGGCGGGACTGTTTCCTGTGTCCAACATCACCGTCATTTGATTGTGCTGTGGTGTGAGAAAGTCTGGGGTAGATACTATCCAGTGTGATTCCTTGCAGTGTCCATATTCCATTTTCACCCTTTCTTTGACGCAGCCGTGCATTCCTTCCGGCACATTGTCAAATTGCATCCAAAAATGCTTTTTTAACAGGTCCTGTCTGTATTTGAAAGGTGTTTGTTGATATCCCAATGCCTGTTTCCAGGGGTGAACCGTAACCACCGACGAATTGCATGTGAAACATTTGTTCCTTAGGAAGGATGCCAGAGCCTCCTCCATACACAACACCATGATGACGTTCTGTGACCTTGGATGAAAGGACACCTTGGGGTCTGTTCCCTGGATTGGTTCCAGGCTCTTCAGTTTTTCCCAGATCCATTTCAACTTGGCTTGTCTGTCTAGCTCCTGACTCTTCTTTGCGAATGTGAAGAGTACAGCGTGTTTTTTGTGCAACTCTTCCTGCTTGGCGGTGAGTTCCTTCGGACATTGGTAGATTACTACCTCTTCTTGATTGTTTCCTCCCTGATCAATCACTTTGGTTATTTTGGTAAGTGATGTCCTTGTTTGTTCGGCTAACCAGTTTTGTGTTTCGATTCCCATGCCTTCCATTTTCGTTTGTGGTCCTTGTTCGCTGTCCCGGTGTTGGTTTGGTGACTGGACTGACAAGATGCGAAAGGTGAGAGCTCGGTCTGTGGAGAGGTAATCCCGTGTTGCTCGCCGTGTGGTCTGGGTCAGAGGTGAGGACCGTGGAGGATGGGGATCAGACGGGGATAGAGCTGTGGTCGGGGCTAGGGTGGGATCGATATAGGAGGAGTACTCGAGATTGGGACGGGATAAATTAACGAGGGGATCGGGATCGGGGTGAAGCGGAGGGCGATTCGAGATGGGTGTGGGATGGAAGCACGGGAGAAGACAAGGGATGTGTGAGTGTGTGGCGAGGTGAGAACGCGAACCAGATGGGGACAACAGGGCTGGGGACAAAATTCGGGATATGATCGTGGAGGCTGTGGGAGTTCCTTAGACTGAATAAGGAGGGATGGTGGAGAAAGGGATGGGGAGATGATATGAGGTGACGTGGATGGGGCGGGCAGACTGGATCTGGTTGAGGTGGGGGTACGAGGCAAAGTGTGGGGGTCTGGGATGGAGTGGTATCGAATTGGGAGTAGGTTATGAACAAAGCGGGGTTGGGACAGATTTGAGTCTGTGAGGAGAGCGAGATCGGGACTGAAATGGGATCGGGATGGAATCAGATGGGGGAATGAGTGTGATTGAGATTAAGATCGCAAGGGGGACAGGGATAAGACTGGGAACGGGATTGTGGTGGGAACGGGGTGGGAACGAGTATGGATCTGGATCAAAATCGAGGTGTAATCGAGGTGGCG